GAAGTGACACAACGGCCCAATCATCCGCCCTGCCAGACGCCGTCTGGAGTCGACACTGTTGCCCCACATTGAGCCGCCGTCGCCCAAACCCAGAGCAGCATCGTCCTGTGGAGGAGGCGGGGGGTCATCGAGTTCATCCCCATCACATGCGTGCTGTATGGAGGCTAAACAGCGGCCCTCAGAGACGAGACTCACAAAACAGGCTTCTGAGATCAGGACGCTCTACTGTACTGTAGTCTGAATGTACACCATGCTCAATTATAAAGGGTTCTTCAGACAGATCCCATAGAAGAACCACTTCAGTACAACCCATTTGTTGGTTCTTTGAATAACTATTTTTGCAGATGAAAAGTGTGAGTGTGAAGAATCTTTTGAAAGTTTGAAGAACCTCCACACAAAGGTTACACACCAATCAAATGGTTTCCTAGAACTTAAATCCAGGCCAGAAACAATTCAGGTACTTTTATTTTTATGAGTGTACAATTCAAAAATATAGAACCACTGTTTTCAGTCAGACCTGTCCAGGGTGTTTCCTGCCCCTAGCTCAATGACTGCTGGGATAGGCTCCAGCACCCCCCACGACCCAGAAGGATAAACGGCTTACAGAATGTGTGTGTATGTGTGTTTGAGTGTTTTCAATCATATGAAATTTGGTTGCAGATACATGTTGAGACCTTAATACTCCAGATTTAATATTCGTTGTCCACAGCGTCACAGGTTACAACTAATTAGAATTAGGCAGTAAAAAAAATATGAAATTTTAGTCCTGAATGTCCAGAATGATGAACAGAGCTGTGGAAGATTCTAAAATGACTGAAAATACTGTAAAACTTTGAAAATGATGTTTTTAATAAAATTAACATCCAGAATGCTTCATAAGTGTAGATCAAAACTCGAGGTAGATAATAAAAAATGACTATAAATCGATAATTACAGTATATCCATCCATCCATCCATCTTCTAAGTCTTACATCCTTCTGGGTCGTGGAGGGTGCCGGAATATATTATTTATCAACATGTATCGAATTAACATCTAAAAACACATTTTGTTGTCCATTTTATAACATTACAATCTATAATCTATTAGCGTACAAATTAACAATCATTTTAAACATGACAGGTAATACCAATGTTCACAATTATAGATCCATACATTATTAAAAATAAAGGTTCCTTGTGGTTCCTCCTAAATGGCAGTTGGCCTGGATCTCGGAAACATCTTTGCTAGATTGCTGTAGTAACTTTAAAATCTGTGGAGGTTCTTTAAACGTTTGGCACCTACATTTTTAAGAGCGTGGTGTACTGAGTAGGGAAAAGTTTTAAAGTTGGTCCTACATCAGGCTGAGTGTTGGGTGCACAGAGCACATAAGCACCACTAACACTGAGAAGCTCTGGGAGGTTGCGGTTTGTCCTCACGAAACACTGGGGTCAAACTCGCACAAGCTCTATGATCAGCTGCGGTGTTTTTGAACAGAATAACAAAAACTCTGCATGTACAGACAAAAGCATCCTTATTTATTTTGTACTAGAGGCCCTCATTACAGCGGGCAAACCACCGCCACTCCAGCTAAGTGAGGTGACATACAGCAATCACCATTTACTGCAACTACTTTTGTCTTAAGCATAAACAGCTGATGTTTGCTTCTTTGGCCACAACAAAGGGATGACAAAGACATACCGGTCAGTGGGGAATCTAATTGTGAGAAGGGCTATTACAAAAAAAAGGAGTCACGGTCTGTAGGAAAAATGCTGAACCCAGTACTTTATAATATAATTTCAATCAAATTGTAACAGGCACACATTAATGATGGGCCACATTCAATTTAATCACTTGTTGACTTTTTTGAGGAAAAACTAAAAAAAAAATATGCATTTTTGCTTGGGACTGAGATTAGTTACGTTAGAGGAAAACTGAAAGCTACACTATATGTCTCAAGGTATCCAGACACCCCTTCTACTTAGTGAATTCAGCTACTCAGTACATAATTTCCATACACTCTCAGAAATAAAGGTACTAAACTGTCACTGGGGTGGTACCCTCAAGAGTACATCTCAGTACCTTTAGTCAGGGAACATAATTGTACTATAATCCATTAAAGTTATATATTCTGAGTTGCACTGACTCCACACACCCCGTCTCGTCTCCAGGCCTTTTATTTTATTGTTCTGTTTTAAAACATTAGGTTATAAAAAAAATACAAATATGTACTTTTCACCTGGAAAAACATATTCAAGGTACACAACTGGACTTTAAAACCACTGTTGTACCTTTGAGGGCACATTTACATTGTTTGTACCTTAATGAACAAAAAATGTACCTGCACAGAACCTTTATTTCTAACTGTAGAAAACCACTGTTAGAAAGAATGGGGCGCTCTGAGGCAGCCACACAAGCCTAAGGTTACCATTCCTAATTCCGATCCCAGGCATCATCTAGAGGGGTATAAAGCCCCCCAGCATCGGGCAGCAATGGAACCGCATTCTCTAGAGTGATGGCGCTACATCCACTATCTTTGAGATGAGTTGGAGTGACGTTTGTAATCCATAACTGATCATCCAACATCAGTACCTGACCTCACTAATGTACTTCTGGCTGAATGCAATTAAATCCTCACAGCAATGTTCCAACATCCAGTGTAAAGCCTTCCCAGAAGAGTAGAGGCTGTTACTGCAGCAAACCTTCTGTTAATACCCTTGATTTGAGACGGTGGATCAGCAGGTGTCCACAAACCTTTGGACATATAGTGTATCTGTGAACAAGGGCACACATGTTGCCAATCTCTGAAGCCAGTATTTAGGGAGCCCGAGCACATTGTCGCGTGTTCCTTTACTTTAAAACACCTGCTTTAACTTATAAGCATGTGCAGTTCGTGATATTTCTAGGTTGAAAGCCATTAGTGTGGCGCGCAGGCCTCCAAAAGAACGGCTTCAAACGGGACTGTAGAGCGCCACACTGGTGATAATCTGTGTATGCGGCGCCCTCTACTGACCGACATCGGAATCGCTCGAGAACAGAGTCACTCATAGTCACTGTCACAGCTTGTACTTGAGAGAAGTACAGCAGCCTTTACTAACGTGTTATTTAATGCACAGTGCTGAGTCGTATAAAAGGAAATAAATGATGAAAAATGAACAAATGAAATAATGTTAGTAACCTATAACGTTGATGCAACAACAAAGCACGTGATCCGTTCTAGAGAAACTTACCGAGTCAGAATTGTTCACAGTGGTGCTGGTGGGAACCAGACGTCTGAAGAGTTTAATGCCTGTAAAAGCTCCTTCACAGAAAGTTATTACATGAAATAGTAACCGATCGGTTGACTGATGCCCAACACATTGTTTTACCATAGTGTTGAAGCCTGGTTCTGGTCTGAAGCGCATATTTATATCCATGCATGGCGGAGAGACACATGCAGGGCGTTAAAAGGCAAAATAGTTCCAAAAGAAAGCGTATTATTTTGGCTTTTACCATCATCAGCATTACATTTAAAGATTCGGAAGACTTGTGTAGGTTCACTAAACTTTTTGGATAAAGAAAATGGCTGCGTTTGTGTTGTATTCATTCTGGCTTCCATTGCCACCATTGTAAAGAAATCAGCCAGTGAAATTCTCTAGCCCCTCTAAATGAATCTCTTTGCTTCTCAGTGAACCAAATATGCAGAAGCTATCAAAAATCTGTGGAAATAAAAAAAATGTAATGTAAAAAAGCACTTTCTTAATATATACCCAAAGGAATTTAATAAGCCTTCGAACTGAATCAAACCAATCATAGCACACCTTTCTCTAAACCCCACCCCTAAATACAGACTGTCCAATTCTAGCTTAGCAGCTGTAGCTGGGCCTGTTCACCTCTGACAAGCTCAGTTCATTATAAAATTTTAACAGAATGTGAAGGGCAACTGGATAAAAAAACAACAAACGAGGTTTTGGCTCAAACAGCAACAAACTACTTTTGTACTTTGACTCATATTTTAGAAAAGGTGCCTCTACTGTCACTCAGGTACAGGATTTGTGTACTTTGTCCACTGCTGCTTATTCATACCCACCAAAAGTGGTCAGTAACTAATTACATCTACTCAGTTAATGTTAGAAGTAAGATTTTGCACGTGATTTGTACTCAGAGTTTGATAATACTTTTAATATATAAGCTGAAATGTAAGGAAAGGAATCCGCTTATGACTTTTTTGTAAACATACTTTTACATCATTATGGGTTTAGGTGACTCTACTCACCTCTCACCTCTGATACGGAAATACATGTATCTAGAGTGCAGTGCACACTATTCATTACATATACACTATTTGTTTTCAGGAGTGTTGTCTTTTGGTAGATTATTGAGACTAACACCAAGAAAAAATCCTGATAATAAAGATTCTGTTTTTTATTTTGTGAGGATGCATTTACAGTGGTTTTACCACATATTTCTACTGGCTTTGTATTTCACCACTGTCCAAAAAAAGTCTCTTGAGTTTTGTCAATTGTTATTTTTTCTACATCATTTGAACCTTGTTGCTGACTTTCACATTGTGTGAAAATTTCATGATGAATGGACCAATAGAAATGCTCCAAAATCCTTTGGAATAAAACCTCTTTACATTAACTTACATTAAAAGCTAGCCAGCTTTGCTTTCCACTGTAAAAGTACTATTTTGGAGATATGTAGCATGTAGGATAAGTAGTTTGGTTTAAGTTACCAAAAATGTAGACTAACTATGCCATTGAGTTGGTTTGTTTTCTTGAGTCTTCAACTTTCCTTCATAACTTGGTTTGTAGTGACATCTAGTGACTGTAAATGGCTACAACATCACTAGTGCAACACAACACAGATAACCATCAAACATTGGAATGAGGAACACAAATTTTTATAAAGGAAACGTCCCAATGAGTGGAGCATGTTATTCTACATGTTATACTGGAGCATGTTATTCATTATTTAATAGCTTTATGTTTAGCAACCATATTAAATATTGTATAAAACATCTCAACATACATTTGGTCTCTAGTTTATACTTTCCTAGTCTACACTGTACAATTTGTTACTGAATAAAATAAAAATCATTAATATAAAAGCAATACCGAGTTTTTAGAGATAGTATATTCTTAGAAATGAAAGGTTTTTAAATGGTTCTTGGTCTGGAAACACAATTCTAAATCGTCGTAAAACACTTTACGTGGAGGTTCTTTAAACTTTAAAAGCTTCTTCACATTCACATATTTCACTTTCAAAAATGGTCTAACCAATTCATGTAACAAAGCCTACCATTCTGCTTAAAGTAATTTATGAAAAACTCAAATGAAAGCATTTCTATCCTGATGGGATCTTGCATCACAGCAATGCTCACTGTTCACAAGTCACGAGTGGTCACTGAACAAACATGAAAACAATACAAACCATTTACTATTGCCCTCTCATACAGCAAAACACAAACCAAACAAATACAGCATGAGGTATTCATTGGAGTCTACAAAGCTGACAGTGTTTTCTACTGCCAATAATTTCTCAGTTAACTCGGGAACCTCACGTGTTGAAGCACCTGCTTTGTCATAGCTTGAATCCTTCATTTATTCAACTGTTTACATTATTTTGACAGTAATATGTTGTAAATTCACACATTGGAATACTCCTCCACATAAAGTTTCTCATAAAAATAGACTGAGCTGCAACAGATCCACTTCTTTCAGTTCAACAGTAATAAATTAATTTCCTAAATAAACAAATAAGATAATTTCTACAGGCTGTAAAAACTAATCCATGACCACTAATATGAAACACCTTCAATAAACACAATCGGAATCAAAGTAATCCCACTTAATGTAACTTAAATAACCCTATCACATGATATTTAATCTAAGGCTAGCTTTATAAACACATAAAATGGGGATCCCACTGATTTGTCAAAATGTGAGATTAAGCATAGAGAGACTTAGCCAGTCAGATTTCTTTACAGTGCTGTTGATAGGAACCAGGGGCTCTGATGTGTGCGGTATAAATATAGCCACATTATTTACTATACAAAAGAAAATGAAGCTCCACATGTCTTGAGTTTTATATGTAAGGTCGGTATGGGTAAAATAGTGGAAAATCTGAAAAAAAGTTTTCTCTGGAGTCTATTTTTATTTCGGCCTAACAACATGCTGCATTAAATACTCTGCTGCGAATGGGCTTAAAGTCTGATCTCATGATTTCAAAACTATCATGAACAATGTCTCTGACTTAAGGCAACATATTCATAACCATTCAGTATAACTTTCTGTGAGCTTTTAGAGGCATCAAATGCTGGTTCCTATAAAATCCACTGTAAACAATTCTGACTTGGTAAGTTTCACATCAAACCATTCTGAATGACTTTGTTTACATCATAACAAATGCCATCTAAGTCTGGTCTTGGCCAAAAAAGCCCTTGAAAATCGTTACAGATAGTTTGGGACCAGGCTCAAACCATCAAGGAGTGTGTTGGCATGGTAGAAAAACCAGTCCCAATTTGTCTAATGGGTCTTATAAAAGAAGTCACAAGCTTTCTCTGGGAGGTGTCTCACCATCTGTTTAGGCGCTGCCCATTAAAAGAACTGAGTCAGATAAAAGACATTCATTTTGCTCTGTCAGCTACTGAACCTGTTACACCTGTAGAGCTGCCCGGTGAGGACAAAGGCACTACAAGTATGTTTGACATTTTGCAGATATAGACAGAAAGCAGGAACATGATCGTAACATAACTTTCTGTTAAAACAGACAAAACAGAATTCAGCTTGGGCTAAATGTGAGGAGGAGAACAGCAAGTAGATGTGAAAAGCCAATTCCCTCAAAGTCTTTCAACAACAGGCAGAGAATTGTAGGAAAAAAGTTAAATACAATTATAAATCACAGCTTATAGGAAAATTGTGGCTGCAGCATAGAACTGAGCGATATGGCAATAATGTAGTATCACAATACTCACAATACTTCAAGAAGTTTTCCCAATACAAAATAAGGTGCGATATATGTCTTGTCTGGCATATGTCGGAGTAAATTCACATTTTAAAATACTATCAAAAGCTATTTTGACATTTCACACAGGCTGACATGCTGCACTAAATCCAATTAAACAGGACTATTGGCTCACTTTGTAGTCAAACATGAAGTAGTTAAGTAGTTTTAAGTACTGACAATATCCACGATATGCTCAGAAAAGCATACTGTGAGATAATTTATCACAACAACGATAGATAACTTCGTCATATTGCCCAGCTCCACAGTTCAGCACCAAAAACGAGCCTTGAAAGACTTGAGGTAGTCTCGAGTTCGTCAGTAAACAGTTAGCCTAACCCCGGTATCCTGAACTAGCTCCGGGTTTGCCAACCAAGCGTCCTAGCAAAACAAACGACAAACGGTCCGCAGAGCAGGTGAAGTCCCCACCGCTTTTAGTTCACATGTCTGAAAACGTGGTGGAGATGCCCACCAGTCTCCGGACAGCCCCCAGGGACGATAAACTGTTCTCCTCTCTTACAGCAGACAGCAAATTGTCCACAATAAGCTGAAGACAGACTCTCAGCTCCTTCAGGTCCCTGTCGGACTGACAGCCCGCCTCGCTGAGAGCCATTCTCTGACAGATGTTCCTCAGGTCGACGCTGTCCTGAGAAAGAGAGACAAGAAGTGGACAAAATGGACTTTAAACAGGCTGATAAGCTAAACGCAAGACCCTTTGAGCCTCTCACCTTGTGACGGAGGAGAAAACTCCCCAGGTCTTCTGACAGAGGTCGCAGTAAGTCCTGCTCTATCGATATGATCTGTGATAATATTTCGACTAGTCGTGAGAACTGGCTTTCTCTCGCCCTCTCGGCGACGGTCTGGGGTTTATGCTTGAGGGACTTTCTTCTGCTCCCCGAATCATCTGAAGACACCTCAGCGTTGCTCCTCGCCGTTCTGGTCCCATTCAGCTCGTGAAGAAGCTTCAGAGCCTCCATCTGGTGTCTCAGTGAGTGGTTCCCCATCTTCACCTGTAACGTTACGCCTGCAGCGCTTTTAGTGCGAAAACGTTAAAACGACGCGTCGTCTTTCAGTTTTTCATTCCCACGTTTTTCGCTTAAACCGCAGAAATAAAGTCCCCATCATGTCAACTGATCTTCCTTAAGCGCGTCTGCGTGTTGTGTCCTGCCTCAACTTCCCCATCGCGTGGTGTTTGGAAACATACTATCGTTGCATCTAGAAAGCCTCCTGCACTGCGCTACTGCGGCGCGCCGACTTCACATGACCGGATGTCAAGGGTCAGTGAGGCTCATTTAGAAAGTCCATGACTCTTGAAATTTAGTCAAGATGGAAGTCCGTCTCTGCCACTGGGGAAAAAAATGTATAGCCTTTTAGTAAGTCATAAAAATGACCAAGTTTTCCATAATTATGATTTAGTATAACTATGACGCAACATCTCATAATTATGACTTAACATCTCATAATTATGACTTAGCATCTCAATAATGACTGACGTGGTATCTCATGATTATGAGACAATTTTCTGATTGTTATGATAAATATGAGATATTAAGCTATTATTATGAGATACTGAGTTTCATTTTTATGCCATAGCAAGTCATAATAATGAGATGCTATGTCATAATTATGAAATACTAAGTCACAATTCATAAATGACTTGGTATCTCATAATTATGAGACAATTTTCTGAGATAGTGATTATTATGAGATATGAAGCCATGATTATGAGAAACTTTCTCAATACTATGAGATACCGATAGTATCATGTTTATGCCATAGCAAGTCATAATAATGAGATGCTGTCATAATTATGAAATACTAACTCATAATTTATGACTGACTTGGTATCTCATAATCATGAGAGAATTCTCTCACTATAGTAATTGAGATATTGAGTCATAACTATGAGAAACTCATTATAACGATATACTGATCATATTTATGCCAAAGCAAGTCATAATAATGTACTACGTCATAATGATGGAAAACTTTTCCAACTAAATGGATACATATTCTTCTCCAGTGGCTGAAATGAGCTTCCATGAGATTGTCCTAAACCAGCATAATCTTAGTTAAAACCAGAGACATGCTAGTGCACACAAATAGTTACCTGTTATCCAGTGCCCCAGATCTAAATGTATGACAAAGGATAAGGCACAGTTAAAGGTTGAGGTAGCACATATCCATCTGGGATTCAGACTCGGGTCCCATTCAGAAGGGATATAACAATAATATCAGTACTGTATCGATGTATCAACTATATGGTGTGGTATGGTGGCTATGGTGTAATTCGTGATCTTCTATATCCACAGTAGTGAATCAGTTATTGTGAAACTGAAAAAAGTGTACTTTTTAGAGAAATATCCAAATAAAATGTTTTATGGTCAAAGTTTAAAGTTAGTTTAAAGGACAATTTCATCGATATTTCAAGATTTCTGCTTAACTGAGCACTTCAGAGTGGTTTGAAGTGAAATGTGGTTTGAAAGAGAAACTGACAAGAGTCATAACTGTTCACAGTGGTGGTGATAGGAACAAAACGTCTGAAGAGTTTAATACCTCTAAGAGCTCCATCACAGAAAGTTATTCCATGAAATGTTTTCAAATATACTGTGTGTAATCAGGCCTCATTCACCAACCGTTCTTTAGGAAGAAAGTTCTTCTTAAAACCCAGTTATGCAGTTTTCACAAAGATTCTGACATTCAACAGTGTTTTCTTATTTGATATATCGGAATCTACGCACATTTAAAAGCACAAAAGTGTGAACAATTCTGTGGCTTAAGAACACGTCATGAATCTAACAGACATTTTCTTAGGACTTTTCTCAAGAACAACTTTAAGAAAAAAACTTAGGAAGATACGGATGAATGAGGCCCAATGTTTTCCAATAAGGTTTTGACCTGTATTTTTTAAAACACACCAGTGATGGAAGGGTACATGCAGGATGCTGTGAGGCAAAGTAGAAAAGTTTTTTGTTTTTTTTTCTTTTTTAAACCAAGACACGTGTAGGTTCACTAGTGGTTTCCGGTAGCAAATAAAATGGCTCTATTTGTGTTGTAGACATTGTGACCCCTGGTTCCTATCACCACCACTGTAAAGACATCTGAGTAAGCAAGTTTCTATACAATTTCACATCAAAATACTTTGAAGATCTCATCAACTGAATTATGCAGAAATTTGAAAAATTTGAATTCCCCTTTAAGCTCAGAGTTTGGACTGCTTTCTCAATGTCTGGAAGCAGCAACACGTTTTTAAATCCATAATCTTAACCATGGTAAGATAACATGGCAGTAGAGTGACACCCAGATATTTGCAGAATGAGCAAAAACACAAATTCCTATCACATACTGAATTCTTTAATTGATTTGGTAGATAATACAAAAAAAGGGGGAAATTCTGTAGTAATTTTAATGGACTATATTATTTCAATATTTATATGCAGTCTTTATCAACATACTAAACCTCGCCTAGAACAGAACATTTCAAGTAGAGTGTCTCACACACACACACTTCAAATCCCAGTGTGAGAACCACTCCTCTTATAAAATGTGGTTAAATGCATTTTTCTGTCCCACACAAATCTTAAACTCTACTCATCAGGGTGTGTGCTGATGATAATGTGTCTGATTCTGGTTCAGTTTTGCTTGTAAGCATACAGTAAGTGAATTCAGCCAAAAGGGGAACATGACCCAAAATCAGCGCAATAAAGCCCAGGATACAAAGCAACTGAATAAAAAAAGAAATCAGTGCTTTAAAAACAAAGGATCTTTAGTTTGTCTCTCTACACTGCACTCTATCTCCACTATGTCAAATGATGCTTTGGGAAAAAAAACAAGCTAATTATAGCATCTCTTTGCAAACACACTTGAAAGAAAACAAGATCGGAAAAGACAGATTATTCTTCTTATGGGCCTGATATCCCATGCATTTCTAAAATGATCAACTTTGACCTTGGTGGTCAACCATACCCCTCATTCTTGGGTACATTTGCATCATATAAGCTTTGTACAGATTTCCGTCATGAAAGACAAGACACCTGTGCAAATTACACGTACAGCAGCAGATAGGCCACACACTGATCTTTACAACATAGTTGACTACATATGATTCATTATCTACACATTAATCTATCTGCATGAAACCTGCACAATGCAAATGCTCCCGTTAGCCTGTGAGACCTAAACACATCCATCAGCTTAGAGGTTAAAGGGCTCTCTACATGCACACACCCCCCCCCAAAAAAAAAGCTGCACTATTCTGTTAAGGCTTGCATGGATCCGGGCGGTATAAAACAAGTTCATGAGCTAGCAACCTAACTGGTTCAATTTAAAGTGGCCTGAAGATGAACTCAACTAATTTTGAGCATTTCTTAAACTGAACCCAACAATTAGTGCGCTAACAAACGAACCCCAAGTACAGCCATCTGTAATGTTTTTAAAAACGCTCATTGCAGTAAAAACCATGCTAAATTGACAAGAAATATGCCTTTGGACAGTTACATTACAAGAATGTGAAAATGATAATTTATTGCTATGTGTTTGGACTCTGTGTGTTTCCGACGGGAGTGTGATGGATTGATAGACCACTACAGTGACATTTTAATATTCCACTGCCAATCCTCCAATAAATTACACTGCTATTGCTAAACGCTTATAGGAAACAGTTACTGGAGAACTGTCAACATCCAGGAGGAATTCCTGAAATTTATTTACAACTCAAACTCAAAAAAATGTTGATCATCCAGTGATTCACATTCACATGTGCTACACAGCCATTTGTCACAGTGAGTAACCTACAGAAATGAAATGGAATTGAACTGAATTGAAGTTAATCGTATGCATTTTTCTTCTTGGTCCATTTATCCCCTCAACCACCCTCTTTCAGTCTCTGTAAACCGCTGTAATGTTTTAAAGAACACTTAAAATCGGAAACATGGTCTTCTCTGCTAACTATCTTCAAGTCATCACTGTTTACCTTCCATGCACGTTTTATTATTTATGAAATGCTTAATCATCTTTATACAGGCAGTCCAGTCATAAAATAATTCTTGTGGTTTTCGTAGACCCAGACCCAGGTATGAATTTTTTTTTACTGATTTTACTGAATTTACATGGAATGAGAACAGACCTTTCTGCTACACCTCTTTTTGCATTACACTATTGACAATGCAATGAATCAGGGGAAAAAATGAGACATGGAACAAGACTCACTTTCCACTGGGGAGCCCCCTACTCACTACATTCATTTGCATCAACCCTGTTTGTTAATTATCAACCCTGCTGTTAATCTTTACCAATCAAGCCGTACCAACCTAATCAGTAACAAACGGATACGAAGGTCACGCAAACTCAATCTGAACTATGATGCGGTGGGCTGGCTGTCACCTGTGCTTTGCTGGCCTGGACGAGATGGCCCACTCCTACCACACACTCTGTATTAGTGTCAAAAAATCCTAGAGTTCTAGTTTGTAGCTTTGAGTTAAACGTTTGACAGAAACTTGGACACGAAAGACAGGGACGTCACGTTAACAGCATCTCTAGAAGTCCATAACAGCTAGAGAGTGGACGGCGGCCGGGACAGCTGCTGCAGAGCCGTGCAGAAGGAACCATTGTTTGGACATAGCAGAGGGGCAGGGGAATATACAGAGTGACAGGAAGGAGGTTAAGCATCTGGGACGTGGGGTTGGGAGGTGTCCAGCTATAGGAAGTGGCTTAAATAGAAAACTTCACACTACGTGGCTGTGTAGAGACCCCTGAGGACTGTTGGGTCTTAAGCTAGTGAGAAGGACAAAGGCTAGGAATAGGAGGAGCAGGCCGTCAATCACCCTTTCAGTGTCGCGTCATTGGTCAGCCTCAGGCTACCTCTAGGTAACTGAGGGAGATGAGTATTACTGATGATCTCACATTTGTATTGTTTTCTTTTCACATTTTGTTTGTTTTGCAACAATTGCCATAATTAATAAGTATTATTCTAGTTTATAAAGTTACAATTAACTATTCCCCAAACCCCCACATGCTTCAACGCCATGTTGAGTTTTTTTTCCATTATTTTTTTTTCCCCATTCAGTCGTAATTATTACTTTTTTTTTCTTTCTTTTTTATTAAAAAAAGGAGGATGACTGCACAGGTGGGCAACTCCATGTCTGAGCAGTGACGGCAAAGTGAGTGATACGGTGGCTGACCAGCGGAAAAAGTTCTAATTCTCTTTTTTGGCTTCTGCGTTGCCGTAGCTGGAACCCGTTTTCTTCACCTCCGTTACACCAATGAGACGGCGCACAGCTACAGAGGCTATATAGACAGACAGACAGACAGATAGAGAGGGTGGATGAATGTCATTAGCAAAATTAGCAAACTGATTAGCAAAACAACTGACAGCTAACTATCAGTCTGGATCTGTAGCTTTTCACAAGTCATGTTTGCTCGCTAATTCCAACAATTCACAATATCAGTGACATCTACGACAGAAAGAAATGATATCAAAACAATTGTAATTTTTTTGAAGACACTGACCGATAATGAGGAAAAGCATGAAGCCAATGATGAGGAGGGGGGAGCCGCTGACGAAGACGTCCCAGGCAAAGCTAATGAGCGGGGACAGAAGCAGCGTAGCCCAGAACAGGAAGTTGAGCAGAGTCCATAACCGACGCTTGGGTTTGATGGTGGGGCCGGGAAACTTGCCCTCTTTTTCATAGAATTCCTGCAGTGCATCCTACCAACAAACGGACAGGCTGGTATGAGATGGAGTGATTAGCAAGCTAGAAAACGCATTAGCAAGCTAGAAAAGCCAACGTCTTCGTTTCAGGATGTCTGTGGCTTTGAAGACATATTTACAAAATTGTTGACCAGCGATTTGCCTACATAAAGTATACTGCAATAACAGCAGATTTATTATATGTCACACCACATGAGGCTTATTGTATGTTACTGTGTTACTGATGCCAATAAAAAAATCTGTGGCAGACTGTTATGACACTCGTGTTCAATCATGCTGCATTATAGCATAAAGATTCTCCAACATTGCAAGAAAATTATGATTTTCATCAGCAGCGACTAGCTGACTTTGCAATTTCAAGGCAGGGTGCTCTAGGTGAACTGGAGGCAAGGCTAGGCTAATGTATATAGGCAAGTAAGTTAACAATTCTGAGCCAAGTCGTTTGATCGGACATATACATTATCTTGTTCACTCAATTGCATGCACTCTAGTACATGCATGTACACAGTGGTTGTCACAAGTTGAATAACATAATCCAAAATCACATAATCCAGTATAGCATTCCTATTTATTTGCTTTTTAGATGTGCATCATAGCAGCAATCACATTCCAAGATTGTGTACCAAAATGTATTACACTGTCACAACTTTGTCATAGGCTGTCTTTTGTTGCAAAGGTACTAAAATGGCCACTGGTGAGCCACTGACATTAAGCAATCAAAAACCACCATATTTAAATCTCAAAGAATTCTTTTTCTTTGCTTATTTTTGTCTGTGTTGGTATCATTGAGGCAAAAATTAGCAGAGCGTAAACCAGCCATCCGACAAAAAGCCAACATTCTCTATAATGAAACTATATTGCTTGGGCCAATGGTTCCTGTTCACAGTTCTGCAGACCCCACCTTTGTGTTTTACCTGCTTTAACATCCCTGATCCAGTTGCTGAAAGACTTGGTAATTAGCTAATGAGTTGCATCACATGTGGTAGATTGAGGAAAATGTGAAAACGTGCCAAGCACATGATCTCTAGGACTGCAGTTGGGAACCCACTGTTTGTTGAACCCACTGTTTGTTAGCTCTGGTTCTTGAACTTGAAATTTTCAAAATTTTTGCCATATTCAGCCCCACTAAATGTAGAGGAAGTTGATGTAAATCCTGAAAATTGTATACATGCACAAAAAAAATTCCTTGTGCAAATTTCTAATTAAGTTTAAAGAAATTACTTTTACGTGCATATATGTGTACATGTATAGGTAGATAACAAGCTAAAAACAAGGACACAGATCAAGAGCCACTATCAGCTGATTACAAATAATTACGAATAGCAAGTCATGTTCGACATTAGACAGAATTCTAACCTTCTCCCTATAGAGGTTGTGAAGCCAGTCAGCGCACTCCTTCTCATCATCGGGAATCTCTTCTACTGGGAAACGCCTTTAAGACAAAACAGAAAACACCAATCAGTGCAATGGACCATTAGAGGGCAGCATTACTCCAAGAAGGAGAGGGACTGGTGGCATTGGTGTGAGCACCAGGTGGCTTTCATTATCAAAACTAAATGTGTGTTATTCCATACAAAGCTGTTCTGCCTAAACCATGCTCTACGTAAAGTCCTGCAAAATATGGCCAATTCGAGAGCTGTTGCTCTGTGTGAAAAAATTTATGCATACACAGTCATAGGCATTTACATTTCATTCTTTTTCTGAAAATACGCACATCCTCAACAGAGAACTCACTTCTACACATTTTTAACATTTCAATTACGGTTATATTCCTGAATTTGTGAAAATATAAATGAACAAAAACAAAGGTAATACTAATTTAAAATGTTTATATTTTTTCCACAAAGAAACAGAAATTGTGCACAAATATATAAAACTTATTTACACTAGATTCACAAAATCTACAAGTTTACTAAGTACTCTCATTCCTTTATTCATTCATTTATTCATTATGTTTTGAATGGAACATTAGGAAAACCTGACCGTACATAAATATTTTTCCACTGCACTGTTAAGTGTATCAAATCTTTTCACACACAAAAACCTCAAATGGCTTGCCGTCCTGCCAATGTATCATTTATAACAACAGTAGTTTATAGGCAAGTGTTATTTTCAGCTTAGTGCTCAGGTGGAAGCTGTTTGTCTCTGCTAAGCCATCTCTCACGGTTGCTAAGCGGAAATAGTTGGACCTGTTCGCTGTGAATCCACCCTGCTGTGGGCATAATCTCTGTTAAGTTGTCAAGCTAATTAAGTTACTAGTAAAGATGCTACTAGGTAGGTACTGTGCTGAATTTTTCAGAGACAACACAACAAAACACATTTATTTACCAAAGTGTAAATGAGAGTTCAATTTCTGCTATGCTACACTAAAAGACATGACAGCATTGATTATCTGACTAAACTGCCATCAGTTTAAATCTGGAGAAAAAAGATGCCTGAGAATCGTGCACTTAGGGAGGAAATGTAATCACCTGTCTGTATATTCACTGCCTAGTAAATAGACCCTTGTTCTGTTTCAGATGCTTAAAGCTACAGTTGGCATCTGCTGTGAAAAAAATCTGTGTTTAAAGGAAATTACTGTCTGTGGTAATCAACAATATACTACAGATATGGCAGATATGAGGTTCAATATCTAACCTATCTGCCCCTTTATGTGACTCCATGCAATTTTTGATCACTGCATTGCAAGCAGAGTTGACAGAGAGTGGGATTACTAACCTGACGCTCATGTCGGCTCTGTATTTCTTCCCACTGATGATGCCCAGTAGTGTGGGGTTCTCCTTATCTTTGAAGTTCAATGTGACGTCATATACTGCTTTTACTGGGAAAAAAAAAAAACAACACTAGGAGAATGCCACCACTAACTTTCACTTCCCTCAACCCAGTCCTCATATGCCACCAGACAGTTCACATTCAGCTCCCAGTGCACCTGCCAGGTACTGACTGAGTCTTCTTAATGGCTTGCTTGAGGAATTTTGGGGCTGGGATACAGCAAATGTGTATACCATCTGGTGGACCCCAAAGGCTGGGTTGAGAAACACTGGATTTACATTCAAGTGAGACAGAGTGGTGTTTTTAACATCATGTCAAAGGTCTTAACTTGTTATGGAAAATTTTGTGAGAATTGAGTCCTGAATTGTTTAAATGAATAAATGGACAGTATAAGTGATAACAACAATGAACCAGGTGTACAAACATGAATAGGTGCAGCGTAAAACATGACTTGATGCATAATTTGTGCTCACAGTGCTTCTGTAACGAATGTTTAATTTACTATGGCTGTAGTTAATCACACAAACTGCATAAAGGACCATCTGTGAGGTGCAGGGTGTAAAAGGTGCAGTGAAATGGTAATTGTCAGGGAGAAAAAAAAAATGTAACTTTCGTGATGAGATATTGAGTTTAAGTTCAAAATATTCTACAGGAGTGTAATTCTATGTTGGCTAAAAACAACAGAATTTGTGAAACAAAAACACAGTAAGTCAGTGCCATGGGAGTCTCTAGTCACTAACTCTGAGAAGCGTTCTGAGAGCTCAATAGCGTTATTCTGTTGGTAAATATTCTTTCATCATGTCTTCAAGTCTGACTGCTGCCATTGTTAAAGGAAGCCTTCCAACAACACGCTTTTGAGACATTATTTATGCCTGATGAAGAGACAGAGAAACTTTCATACTAAACTAGCCGTCAAACCTTTGGTAAATCAAATGGAATATGTAATCAGCCACATTTCAATATTTCCACCCATTCTCCCTCAAATGCATATGTATGAAGAAAAAAAAACATTTGGCATTTTTTTATACACTGCTGCATAAATTTTCATACGACATCCACACTATTTCAGGCATAATGGTGACTATTTGTGCCTAAAATTGGTGCAAAAGGCTTAATACATCCTGCCAGGCGACTAATATGGAAAGTGCATGTGTGTGGTGGCTTCCTCTTTCAGGCACTGCAGTAGAATTCAGTGATATGTGTGTGTGAGAGCGCACCTGTTCCCTTGAGGCATTGCATTGTGGTGGTGAAGCCCTTGGTGCGTGGCAGTAGGTGGTATTTGAGCTTGGGTAGGCCTTTGCTCTCAGCCACCTGCATACTGATCTGGTGCTTCTTCTCAGTGAACCGTGTCCCCTCACAATAGAGCAGAAACTGCAGAAATAAACATCACACACAAAGGAATAGATTAAAGAAAAATCAAACACACTGTTTTCCTTTGCTAAAAATGTTATTGATTTGCCAAGAACATGTTTGGGGTCTGACATTTGTTTCTTTACTTTTGTGCTGGAGCTTTGAGGTTACTGTAGCTAAGCTGCAACTTCACGCCTAAATGATCAGACACTTGCATCAAACCATGTTATTTCAAACAGACTTGCTTATATGCTTTTGGAAACTGTACTCTAATCTACAACAGAATTTGTAAAACAATAACACACTAAGTCAGTCTTACTGTGTTATTCGCATTGGTATTGTTATTTATAAACATAGACTAAAGTGTGGTTAAAATTCAGACTTTAAGACAGCTACCGTGACTGATATTAGCTATGCCATGTACCTTTGTCCACGTTTTTGTATTTTAGATAACCAAGACACATTAGCCAAACATATCAAGACTAAACAAGTACATTTGAGGCAAGGGGAAAATTGTGTACATTTAATTGTATACATTTTACAGATAGGTAAAATGTTTCTCTTTAATGTAAGTGCTTTGCAGCTCCCACTGCTGCACTGATTGGTGTTGCCCAATAACTCAGTAATTCCTCCTCTCTTGTGAAGTGAACTGATGTTAGCTGTGTATTTATGTATCTGACCACCAAGGTTAAGTCATTAATACAGTATTAGCTTACAGGTCAATGAGGGAACAGAGCGTTGAAGAACAGACACTAATTTTTAAGAGTGGATATGGTTTTTGCTATTACTACACATAGCAGATACGACCACACAATCAGATTGGTTGAAAGTTTTTAAACAATGTCATTTTATCGGATAACAACACGGTTTTTCCGCCCGTACACTGTATCCATCTGCTGATCATCAGTAAAAACAATGGTCACTTTAAGAGCAAACTGACCCAACAAACACCAACATTCTAATCTTGACAGCTGTTTTACTATGTTAGAAAACCAACTGAGAAACCAAATGAACTAGTGGGGGAGGACATATTACAACAGTGTAAACAAGGAGAAAACATTCTGCAACAGTGTAAATGGGGGGAAATATTCTAGAACACCATGAAGGGGGGGATAAACATTCTACAACATTGTGAAGGGGGGATAAACATTCTACAACATTGTGAAGGGGGGCGTAATTCTAGAACAGTGCGAATCGGTGGAAAAAACATTCTAGACCAGTGTGAACTCGGGGAAAGCATTCTACAACAGTGTGAATCAAAGGGAATTACTCTAGAACAGTGTAAATCGGGGAAAACATTCTACAACAGTGTGAATGGGGGGGGGGCATTCTAGAACAGTGTGAATGGGTGAAATATTCTACAATAGTATGAATGGAGGAAAGCATTCCAGAACAGTGCAAATCAGGGAAAAACATTCTAGAACAGTGTGACTGAGGGGAACTTTCTAGAACAGTGTGAATAAGGGGAAAACAGTGTGAATGGGGGAAAAATTCTTAAACAGTGTGAATGAGGAAAAAACATTCTACAACAGCGTGAAGGGGGGAACACATTTCTGAAGAGTGTGAATGCAGGAAAACACTGTAACCGTGTAAACTGTGCAGAACATTCCGGAACTGTATAAGTGGGGAAACATTCTAGAATTAGTCTAGAATACACTGTTCTAAGAAACATACTACCTGTGGAGGAACTTCTTTTTTTGGCAGAAAAAATGCCAATCTTTAAACCATGTATTTGAAACAATGTTTAAAAATAAATAAATAAATAAATAAATAAATAAAAACACACACACACACACACAACAGAACACACAAGGCCTCAACTTCAGTTCATGAATTTAACCAAATCACAGCTGTCATGTTATTCACAATAACACACTTCTGTGCTCTGAATTTGCTAAAATCAACAGCTTATCACATAATTATTTAAATTTAATTTGATTGATTTTTATAACACTAAAATACTTTAAAATATATGAAGCACTGCTTCCAAAGCTGCAGTCTGAAAAACATTTCAAACTTGAATATCATTTTGACAGAGAATATTTTATTGGTTGGCTAGAGAAGATTCTCACAAAAATGTACTAAACTGTCATTTGGGTGGCTCCCTCAAAGATACATTTTCAGTACCTTTAGTTAGGGAACATTTACCAAATATATTTATTTTCTTAAGTTCCACTGACTTCTGACACCCTGTCTTGACTTCAGGCTTTTTAATTTATTTTTTGTATTTTAAAATGTTATGACAATGATGTTTAAGGTACAGGTATGCCCCTCTTGCCTGGGAAAGTCAATGTAGTGTATCTACATAACTTATGAGGTACACAGTTGGACCTTAAGACTGATGTTGTACCTTTGAGGGTACATTTACATTAGCTGTATCTTGACCAAAAATTGCACAGTACCCTGAAAGTGTAGTTTTTCTGACAGTGTATAGAGTGGGGTTTTGAGGGTTTGATTCCTCTGGCTGGACCGCTGTGAAGCGCCGCTTCTTTTAATATTAGCTCTTGTCGGTTCAGCCTAACAGCTGAGTATTATGTCTTTTCAGACGTCACTGGTTTAATGAGTAGATCAGTGATGTGGGGGAGCCGCTAAACACACTCACCCACATATACTCAGGGTAGTCTCTGAGTTGATGGAGCCCTTTAAACACTGTCTCCCTGTCCTCCTCCCACTTCCTCTTACAGAACACAATCTCCAGGAAGTACCAGGTCCAGCCAATCAGAGGCACTTTCAACAGCTCGCGCTTCGCCAGCACCTTGGAGCTCTGGGTGAGAAAGAAAGGTGAGAGAAACAAAGAATAAAAGAGGGCCAGAGAGAGGAAGAAAGGGATGGAAAGTGTTGATTTAAGTACATGTTTACAGTGTCTGGCAATAAAAGTGGCAGTATAGTTCTTTTATTGTTTGAAGTAAACAAAACTGAACCACCCCCAGACGCACTGTCGTTAAGCACACTTAAAAAGAACTTTGCGTACGTCTTTCTCACTCAGCACTGCTAGAGGTCCATTCTGCGCAGTGACTAAAGGCAACCATGTGACACATGGACCAGCTGTGATGAAGTGGAGATCTCAGAATAAACAATGCTGAGATTAGGACCAACTGCAGGTCACAGAACAAATGACAGTGATTAGGACCTAGGGCTGAAAGATTTGGGGAGAATGTCCAATTGTGATTTTTCTCACCAATATTGTGACTGCAATTTAAATTGTGATTATTTTCTATGAAAAAGTCCAGGCGTTTTGTTGCTCGTCTACAGCCAGTTCACAAGCTCTGTGTTATTACATTAAATATCACCACTTAAAACTTCATATGAGAACACTGTTGATAATATGAGCAGTTTGAATTTGAGATCAATTTGAGATTTCGATATAACAACAATACATTTTTCAGGCTTTGGAACAATTGCAGTCGGGGTGGTCTCAGAAAAAACAACGCTGCGATTAGGACCTATCGCAGTCAGGGGGATGTCTCATAACAAATGACACCCTGATTCAGGACCAATCACAGTCACTGACACTGTGATGGCATCAAATTTGTTAAATCCAAAAAATCTATTTAATACAGCCCTGTCTAATAGCCTAGTATCAACAACAGGCAACAGTAACAGCAGCCTATAGGCTAACCTAACACAGTAAGCTTTAGCCATTTTATTATTTTAATAAAATAATTATAAATATTCTGTTAATGTGTGATCTATTAAATCTACAGCAAAAACCACCAAACCAAAGCAAGAACGAAGGTAGCCTACAAGTTTCTGACCAGAAGCTTAAGCATGTTTACTTTGGCAAGCAGCCTTCTTCATCCAAAAAAGTGAAAATGTGCATAGCACATGAAGAATACTCTGCTTTTTAATCCTGAACAGTCCCCATTAGATTCCATTAGATATTAGCAATGTTAGCATTCTTAGGTAACACACAAAGGGTTGGGTACTGACCCCCAACACGCCGTATCGCTCGCACATGGTCCAGCCGCACAGGAAATCAATTTCATAGTTGTGGTTGAGGATGATGATGACATGCTCTTTGCCAAACTGATCCACCGTGGCCTGGTCAGTGTAGAGCGTGCATTCTGTCCCCGACCACCACTCTAAAAGCATCACCAACTCTGAGGAAGAAAAATAAGAGACAAAGAGAGAAATCAATTATAATTTTAGTCTTAATTAGTGTTTCTCCTGATCCAATATCTTTAATTTATATCTTTTATTTTTTTTAACTCCACAGTGCACTTATCAATAATAGTCCTACACACACTCGCCCTCTCGTTTTACTACATTTATCAGCTTTACTATTGAATTAGTTGATTGAAGTTAACACAAATTCATTGTGTACAATGCAAATAAACAGTAAATGTGCATATTGTGCATATATGGATGTTTATTTTTGATATGTAAATTAGCTATGTTCTGATTGGCTGTGCAGTATTGTCATTAAAAAAGCAGTCCAGACTGCAGCACTCCTTGGCTTTGTCTGAAACTGAAGGCAGACGTCTCAATGCCTTGCTGGATCTCAAGTCAGTGGCACTGATACGTCACATTGCCAAGATAGACAGCTCACTGCTAGCTGTTAGCGTTAGACATTAACACATTCTCTGAAGGGAACAAATTAAATATACAATTTTCAGTAAATTTTAGTGCATAATTTCTATTTATTTGCGTAGTATAACATATAAAAATAAAACATAAAATATAAAATGTGTCATAACTTGGCACAGGCCACATAATTGTGCAGTAAAATACACAGAAGTGTTTTCACAGTAAAGGATGTGTTAACATTTCTTCACTTAGAAACTCAAAATAAGCATAATTTGACCAGGGGACTGTCAAAAACCTTTGCATACGGCAATGTAAATGTGCTGGGTTTCATCACTAAAACAATGAATTCCAATATTTTTGCAGCTTAACTCCCATTTATTGAATGTATGGACTGGAGGGTAAACAACACATTTTGAAACTTTAACAATGTTCACATACTACACCAAACTCTTATTTCCAAAAGCAAGGAAAATTTGTTTTTTCATTATATGGGCTCTTTGAGCAAGTCTGTGATAATTTAGGCAAGTGGACTATGTGACGCTAATTTAAGCTTCCATTGCTTGTTAGCTACTTAAGCATTTAAACATAGCACAGGCATAGAAGTACTCACGGCTCCATAGCGAGTAGCCCAGGCGGGTGTTGATCTTGCGATAGAGCTGCTTGTTGAAGGGCCAGATTACGCAGGTGCACAGCTGAATGAAGTTGAGGATGAGGCCGCTGACCACGAAGACGAAGCCGATGAGGAGCTGCAGGATGAACTGGCTCTTCAGCCAGGCCAACACACCCATGACGGACGAGCCCGCGCCTCACACACACATACATGCACACCTGTGGCAAGACACAGAAAGTGAGTGTGTATATTACCTTTCAAAAGTCTGGAATCACTGTTCTCAATTGTACAACGCTAATTTGGTCGCATGCAGAGATGCAAATGATCAACGGATTTAACCGCTAACCAACAAACTGTTTGAAAAAAACGTTACTTTGATTCAATTTCTTTTCATTAGGCAAGTTTTTCATTCAAGTTTTTCATCCGTGGAACATTTTTGAATTGTATGCATGAGGGCACAATTAAGCAATTATTGGTTCCACTAGATAGGTCTTGGTTCCGCTAGATAGGTCTACTGAAAAATGGTCGTGTTCGGGAGCCCTTTTCAAGAGAGCGACAATATACGACAATGTACCATATTAAAAGTAAACGTTGAAAAGCACTGTAAGACAGAGAACTATTTTGTCCATGTTCTCTGAGAGTGTGATGCACGGCTGTGTGAGGAAAGTGATTAACCTAACCACGGCTTCATGTCTCACGCTGCAGTGATGCTTTTCTAGGAAAGCATCTGGACTGCATTTGCATGTTTAGACACAAGGTTAAGATATGGATGCCCTTTTTAGCACTACATTTGCAGGTTTAGCTTGACTTGAATGTGTGGTTGATTTTGCTACACACACACACCAAGCTGGAGAAAGACGTGGCGGACAGCAGCGGCTTTGAGAGCTACTGAGGTTCACTGAGCCAAAGCTAGTCCCAGACATGGCATTTCTGTTTGTTTTAAACCGGGCTAGTAATGAGTGGTTAATAGAATTTTATAACTGTAGAATACAGACCTTTCAGTAGCCCACCACTGTATATTAAAGTCATTTCTTTAACGTTTTCGTTTTTGATCATATAATCATGGGTATGCTGAATATTCTGGGCCATTTACTGCATATACATGTTTATGTCTGTCTCCACCTATCAGGACAACATTCCATGGCCCATACAAGGAAAAGTTTGTAGTCTGCCTTTGAGTTAAGTTTTTCACCTTATCTTTGAAAATTTTATGTGTGTCCAAAGTGATAAACAGAGCTGTAGATGACTATTTTATAATTAATATTTTGGTTTTAGTCTTGGCAGTTCATGACATATATCCCTGACTAATGATGGTCAGGTGCAGGTGAAATGAATTTGCAAAACTTTGCATTCCTAGTTACAAGTATAATATGATTCTAATACACTGATAGTACTGTACAACCTCAAAGCTGTCAAATAAGCCATGAACAATTAAGACATTTTATACAGTGTCTATATTGTGTCCACAGTGATGAACAGAGCTGTAGATGATTCTATAGTAACTGAGAAAGCAGTATAACAAAGAATTAAGTTACAAAATTAACAATTAAATGCCTCGCATTTCAAAAGTGGTGATTCAATATTGACACACGTAACTTGACAAAATTTTAATATACACAGATATTTGCAGAATAATATTTATATTTACTAACTTTATAAAACTCCATGAAACCTGAAGTACTGAAAAACAGCAACTTAATTTAGTTTTGGTGCCAACTCTATAACATTTAAATTATTCAATAAAATAACAGTCCTTGATATGACAAGCAATTCAAATCTTTGCATGGTAGTATATAGTTTTATGTGCGTGTTTACAGTGGAACTAACCACACAGTCAAGCCAAACGCTAAACATGCAAATGTAATGCTAATACGGACTTTCATATCTTAACTTTATATCTCAACATGCAAATGCAGTCCAGATGCTTCCCTAGAAAAGTGACACTGCAGTGCTGAAGCTGTAATTAAATTAATTTCTTTGTCTAGATAAAGCTTAAAATATCACTGACAGCTATGCTTACAAGATGCGAACAGTAACAGGCAGTAACCTTATATGGCATTCTACTACAATAAGGAAGTGCCAGTCTGTAGAGAAGTTAAGAGTCAGGCAGGGTGCAACAGAGAGGGAAGAAGCAGCAACTTACACATTGTATGAAATATAGTACACTACAGATGTGCTCGTCACCATTAGTGCAAGCAGTGTGATTGCACTGAGAAATGTGCACATTAAAATAGCATACTGTTAATACTAGGGATGAATGTGGCTAATCAAATATACAGATGTCCAAACTGATTTTAGAATTCACTTTCTTAACCAGGTATTGGAATGTGAAATTAATTTTTGCCATGTTGAAATGATTTTTTGACCAACCATGTGATGTAGAACCACAGAGAGTGTTTCAAGCATTTGATAATGCCTGTCATGTTAAGCAAAAAATAGCATATAAAAGAACTATATTTGAGAATAGTTCAAATAAAAAGATGATAAATTTGTCTTGAGAGTTGTGAGAGTTTTGTAGGCCATTAATAACAATCAAATAATCAGGTACGGATTCACCTCTTATGAAAGCTACACACAAACAAATGAATGATAAAACTTCAGAGCTTTCGCTTTATTTGACTATATAATATAAAATTTTCTTACTGGAATATTTAAATACTATTTGTTTAAAAGACGTGTATATTCAAATAGCAAAAATGGAAGCTGCAGTTTGAAAATTTCAAAATGGGAAATACAAAGCAAAGCTGCAGCTACACTACACAAGATGAGTTGGATGTCTTTGTCCTTCAGTGTTTTTTACTCAATAGTTATAGAAACCATTTAGGCGTGATTCAGTGATGTGAGGCAAAACATAATTTTGCTTGTAAATGCAAAATAGGGCAAACAGGGCAAATACATGATTTAGTACACGTTTTAGTACAGTAGAGATTGATTCTCTGAAAGAATGGCTGACCACCAGCGGGCACTGCAGTGCCACGGTGTGGTAAAACTATAAAGGGGGGTTTTTAAAGTAGCCAAGTTAGCACTATAAACTGTTTTTCCTTTTTTGTAAAATATGGAGGACAATATCACCTGCTGGTGATTTTGAGAAAAACATTTTGGTTATAAATCGTCCAACCCTAGTGCACAGTGCTTGGACTGAGACAGGGACCATCACAGGTGTGGAACTTACCACAGTGGGCTCTTCTTCTTTACAATCCCCTTTTACACGGCCCCTCACTCAACACCACAGACCTGAGAGAGAGACAAGAGATAGAAAGACAAAATGTTCACTCCTGCAGTCTGCACCTTCTAGTTCACCCACCAGCTCACACACGAATGCACGAACCCGATAAAGACGTGCATGTAGTAACAGATAAATCAATGCCTATTTTTACCCAGTCGAAGCGGCAGCATGCCTCAGCGTCTGCAGTCCTATCATAAAGCCTCCATTTCAGCCTGAATGGTTGCAGTATTGAATGTTCAGTCATTAAATAGATAGTGACTTCACTCCTTGACTTTCCAATAACTCGAAAGGACTCAAAACTATTTGCTTGTGTATCTTCCCTGTTCAAAAGCTAAAATGCAGCAGGAAGTCGGTGAGAGTTCGCCACTGTAAATTCTTTACCCTGCCTGCAGGCGGGGGGGTAGACTGCAGCTCCCTACCGTAGCGCTGCTCTCCCTTTTTTCTCTGTCCCTCACACACACCCACACTCTTCATGCGAACTTTCACCCAGTTGGAGCAGTGCCAACAAATTCCCCTCTCCGTCCCTCTCATTCAAGCGCTGTCTCTCTCGGCCGCTCTTTTACATTGCAAATGTCACACAATCAAGTTTTACTGTCTCTTTCCTGTCCTTTACTTTCTCACTCTCTCTACATGCAACATGCATAGCGTCAGACTGGTGCGATTTCTTGGCCATTGTCTCTCAAAAACGTGGGCAATAACTGACCACTTACCATCTGACCTCAAATTACCCTAGAAGCTCCGAAGCATAATGGCTCCAGATTTATTTTCTTCTTACTGTAACTCATTTTAACCACACTGACTGAGGCTGACTGATCTTGCTACTGCAATAAAGGATTGTTTAATAGACCACTGATGTCATAAAAACTGTCCCAGCTCAAATAAATGTATCTTTGTTGTTGCAAAACTGGATAATGATGTTGGCTAGTACGAAACAACTTGCGCCTACCTGCTCCAAGTGGGACAATCTGGCAGCTGGGATTTGTAGTTTTTTTCTGCCTGTTTAACTCTTTATCTGCCATTAAAATCACTACACTGACTGGTCAGCTAGCTGTGGCACAGTGTGTGCTAAAACAAATCTGTTCCATTTCAGAATAGTACTGGGCAGGGCTTGGTCACATGGCAAACTCCAACCTTGAATAGACACAGCCTAATTTCCTTTGCCATAACACAACTGATTCAACTCTAGGTCATTTATAAAGTCTAAACAAAGTCATTCACTGTGATTTGATGTTAAATGCTCTGTTCTAGATAAACTTACTCAGAACTGTTCAGTGTTTGTGACAGGAACCAGACATCTGAGGCGTTTACTTCTAAAAGCTATCCCAATGGAAAGCTACCACGTGACGTAGTTATAGATATGCTGTCTGATGCTTGAGACATCATTTTACAAGGGCTTTGACATAACATTTTGGCCTAAAACATTTTTTAAATCCATAGTATAGAGTTTTAATATTTTTTATGTGTGTTGCATTTTTATGCCAATAAATAAATAAAATAAATAAAAAACAATGAAATAAATAAAATAATAAGTAAATAATAACGGTTTTCAGTCAATTTGGCTATAAAGTAACGGGAACTAAAATCAGCCATATTCTAGTTCATGCATCCCTATTACACATTACATATTAAAAAACAGACTGTGTAGGTTCACTGGTCATTTTGGATGGTAAATAAACGGCTATATTTGCACTGTAGACAATATAAATAAAGTCAGTATGTTTCTCTACACCACTCTAATATGATGTTGTGTACATTCCAAACAACCACTGAATTATGCAGAAATTTTGGCCAATGGTGGAATTTTCCTTTAATGAGTTAAATCAAGTAATGATGTTTTCTGGGCCTGGATTTGGATCACTGTTACTTTAAAAAGGATTTTTGAAGTTTTTTTTGAAAGTGTCCTGCACTCTCCTTCACCTACCCTCTCACTCATCCAACAACATACACACATACAGCTGAACCAAGCTACTGATGTGGAACAAATGACAGAACCCGGCAATTTGATTATTAGCTCAGCAGTAGGGGTGTAAGGATAGATATTTTCAGGTTACACTTGATGCTCAACAGATTTTTAACCAAATTTTACATGTTAATTTGTCTTTGAGTGGAGGGGCATGCATAGCATAAGCCCCCCCCACCCACTTTACTTTGATAGAAATCACTCAGATGCCCAGATTGATGCCTAGCCCACCAATAGAGGTTTTCAGAAAACATGGAAAATGAAAAACCATCAGAGGAAACTGAGACAGAGGGGTGTATGTGAGATACAGATTCAATTTTCGATGCATGTTTTGAATGTTCATTTCTGTATTGAAAGCACAACGCCACTATGTGCATCATGTAGTGAAACCGCATAAAGAGGAAAGAATGATTCTTTACAGCATAGCACAGTCCATGCACAGTCCAGGCCCTTAACCTCAGCTGAAAAAAAGCTTACTCCCTTAAATACAGACAGGATGTAAAAGCTAAGCTCTCTCCAATTGCCACAGTGCTCCAGTCTATAAATTCTGGAGACTGGCCTAAGTGAGCGTGTGTGAGGCAGAGCCGTCAAGAAGAACGAATGAGGGTGAAACAAAAAAGGGAGAGAGGTGCAGAGAGGGAAAGAACAAGACACAGCAAGCAAAAGAGACGTGAAGGACTAGTCTGACTGCCTAATCTCACCACATATGTATGAATGTGTGCGTGTTTTAGGGATCACCTGATCTACCCGGAGGTTTGAGCAGTGCACAGGATCACGGGAAGACAAAAATATATATGGAGAGAAAACATACTGGTTGACAATTCAGTGAAACAGTGATTATGTTTTTTAAGACTCAGGGAACCTAAATCTGTGTTTTCTTTCTAATTAGGTTATTCTTGTTCTTGCAGGCAAACAGCAAACATGTACTAGGTATACCCTTTGAACAATGTTTAAATGACCAATAAATGACCGATATATTTCTCCATATTTCTCTCCTCTTGATACAAACTGGACAGTCCTTATTTTGGGTAACGCTTCCGTAAACGTTCACCTTACCAATCACAAGACTGACGTCTCTTGCCCCGCCCACACAAAACAGTTTCAGACTCAGAGAAACTTAGTGAGCTAAAGCTAACCCAGCATAACCAAAAGCTAGCAAGCTAGACCACCTGTCTGTAGCTGCCCATCACCCATTCATTCATTCATCCAAGAGCAGGCTAGGAGTGTTGGTCAATCAAGCCAATCTGATGCAGCTTGTTACTCATTCAACACAAAAAACTACCCATTTCCCTTGGCTATTTTTGAATAATAAAATGGGAAATGTATTCCTCTGCGTACTTCCAAATTTTGTGCAACCTGAGTGCCATCTGAATTCACCTATGCCTCTACTTTAAATCTGGCTGAAGTCCTTTTTTTGGCATTGTTGGCATCAACTTTACTGTTAACCGATTATCTATTGATACGCAAATATCAAAATTATTCTCTTCCTGAAACACTCACACACCATCTTCACTCTGAAAGCCCACAACCCTGCATATGATACTGTTTTCCCAACAAACCTGATTCAATTGATCAGCTCAAACACAACCCCTTACTGAGTTGGAAGCATTAGAGCAGGTAAAGCATTGAGAAGTGCAGGGCAGTGGGCCTCCAGGACCATGGCTGGGAAACACCGTACTAAAGTACTGATGGATATCAGGTGGCTGATAATAGCAGTTGATATTGACAACCTGTGGCTTTACTGGTATTTGTGAAAATATTGCTTGTAATGCATTGATAATTACCAACTTTTTTTTTTTGCTTGTGATGTCAGCAGGATTCAGACTTGTGATCTCTCACTAACAGAAAGAAATCTTAAACAGTTATGACACTGGGGAGTCTGATATGAGTCACCCCCTGTTAAAGTATATCACAGAAATAGAGGCTAAACTAGTACACAACAACCAAGAATGTTGGTTTGACCTGGTTCATTTAAAACACGATTCTTGGCTTATGCACCACAAAAAAAAAACCTGATAAAGATGATGCATGCAGGTCCAGCATAAACCATTATTTACACTCATTGTCATGGTTTTATTAAATACTTTTACTTTCTTACTCTAGAGTACATCTAGGAGCATGTTCTTTTATTAAAAAGTGTAAAACCGTTAATTTTTTACCAGAGTGTAGTTTTTCCCAGAGCACTTTTTTTTTACTTGAGTAAAGGACTTCTGCCACCTCTATTATTCAAAATTATAAAGTTCTAAAATGTAAATATAAAATTATATTAGCCAATGTCATTGTTTGTCTGACTTTTTAGCCTCTTAAAATCTGTAATAGTATAAGCCACAAAGGTTTCCTATCAGGTTGGTCCTAGCACACACACATATACTCTTTCTCTTTGGAGGTCAACAAGGTTGAATGTTTGCTCGGGTACATGGCCTCTAGTTTTCCAACTAATCCCTGACATACATGTGAAATAGCTGGTGCTAGGCAGTATTAATAAAAGGTAATGTTATTATATTTTCCAAATATACCACAGTATGACATCAGGTATTACATAACAAATCTAATGAACTCATGCCTTCTCAATACTGGTACTCTACACTAAAAGAATGTCTTAAAAACCTAATAAACATGGTATTACACCACAGCTCGATGGAATGGACTGCTCATTATCTATCAATAGCTCTTAGGGACTTGGAATCGCAGGCTGTTGCTGATATTTTCAGGTACATATCTGCTGGAAATAAATCTACCTGGATTAGCATTGCAGAGAAATACAACATTTATTTATGTAGGGTTGCAAATGCAGTAAAATTAATAAAATTCAGGCATTTTAGAGCAGTAGGCCAATGTTCTGCTCTTCTGGACTACAATAAATGCATCTTCAAATATCAGTTTGAAATATCAGCCAAATCTAAACAGCCATCCGATACACAAATTTTTAGACAATCATATAGCAATACTGATAGGAATCGGATATCTTTGTGCATTCCTACAAATAATCAATATTGTGGTGCTGTATCCACACTGGTATAGACAATGCATCGCCCAGCACCAAGTATA